AAATTCAGACGTTTCTAGTTTTGAAGAGACAAATAAATTACAGTATTACTCATTCTGAATATCATACTTTGATTTGTAGCTATTTGCTTTCCTTTATGGCTTGTGTAGAATATTCCACCATATCACAGCCTGATTGATTGAGCTAAATAATGTGTTTGCCCATCCTAATCAAAAGAGTGGGAATGAATGAGTTCAGAAGACTTCACCAGGTTTCCAAACAAAGTGTATTTACTTTGTGAGTTAGCAAAAAATTGTATGTTGGTGTCTTAACCCTTTGTCCTTCAAAGTGATTTTGCTGCTAGCTTAAAGGTCATGGTCATTGGTAGCTGTGAGAGGAATGTTGGTGCAAGACCAGGCTCCACTGAGGCACTAGTTCTCCTTCCTACAGGTACAAACAAAAGTGCATTTCAGAATAGTGCTCCTGAGCCTGAAAGAGACACCTGCGGGGCCTGGCTGTGAAACAGATTTTTTTGTTACAGGAAATATGTTGTTTAATGGAAACATGATAGGGGATCCTACTGAAAGGCTCCCAACTGTTCAGACATAGGTCATTCAGCCAAAAATCGTGCAATTAGTTTAAGGACTGTGACTGATGCTCCTCACTCCTGCTGTCTTTAAAGTTCACCATTTTTAGGTCCCACATTTTGAAGCAAAGGAATAAATGACTCCAGAAAAGGTTTCCTTGTCTAGCTGCCCTATTTCTCCAACAGGTTAAATTTGGGAGGAGTCTTCCAAGTCAAAACCTCTAAGGAACATTGCTAAGACAGGATTTGTCTGTCACCACAGCAAGCAATCAGATTTCACATTCTCTTAGCTGTTAACAGCATTTATTTTCATTTTCCTAGGTCAAGTACAAAGAGAATTATGAAAAATCTAAAGGCAGATCGATGCTGGAGTTTGTGGATACACCAATGTATCAAATTTCAAAGGAGGCTCAAAAGATGCAAAGTGAGGTTAGTAAAACTGTGTGCTTGAACTAGCAAAATATTCATCAACAGAGAAGTTAATAGACATCTTGTACTCAGGTTAAGAAAATGGATGAAGCAGATTGTAAAGGTTTTATAAATTGAGGATATGGTAGAATTAGTACTGAGTAGTGCTCTTTGCTATTCTGTAGCTCAGTTCTTCAAATTTTTTTTTTTCTCAAAAGTTCATTGGTGCTAACACTAGACAGAGACTGTATGTAGCATCATTTAATTGAGAAGAAGCTCAAGAGATCTTCTAGATCAGAGATTACTAACTTTTTTACTTTTTGCCTTTAATTCCATCTTTAATGAGGGAGGATTCTCAGGTTGGAGCAAGTGAAGCTGCAAAGCCCAGTCCGACCCAATGCCTTAACTGAAACGTGCTGCTGCCTGTTCAGCCCTGGGAAGCTCAGCAAGGGGGAGGGATTGTTCCTGGGCTCCAGAACAGCACTGGCTATCCTAAGTCAGGCATATTTTTCTAACTTTTTATTAAAAACTTTCAATGGTGGAGGTTTTACGACCTCCCAGACAATCTCGTCCAGTGTTTCACCATCCATCCTGAGAGAGAGTATTTCCCTGTGTCTCCCTTGCTGCAGTTTGATTCCAGTATTTTTGCTGTGTGTCATGGCAAACAGATGATTTCATCCTCTTGGTAGAAACTTCTACGTGTTTAAAACCATTACCTGGTGTGCCATTTGTCCTCTCTTTTCTCTAGCAAGCAAATTGTTTTTTTCATAGATTAGGTTAAACATTTCTTTGGAACTATCATACATAACGTATTTTTGCCTAAATGATACGTGTCTTGTATGGATAATCTAGGTAATGAAATGAGAAATAAAGTTGCTTATTAATGTAATAAGTAATTTATAGCACAGCTCATTTCTGGGTCTGCTTACAGTGTTCTTTCTGAAATATGCTTGGAAATGCACATGCATGTACCACTAATTGTTGTTTTTGCTTCAATAGAAAACGTATCGCAAAGATTTTGAAGAAGGGATCAAGGGAAGACCCTCAATGGATTTAGACAAGACCCCAGAGTTCTTGCATATAAAACAAGTCACTAACCTTCTGAAAGAGGTAGAGGATTTTTATTTCTTTGTTTTGTTGTTAAGATGTAAATGAGCAATAAGCAGCATCACTACAAGCTGAACAACTTACAGTTAACTTGGTAGCTAAATACAAAAGTGAATTAATGAGTAAAAATTGCGGCATGTCATTTTATGTTCTGAATAGTCCTGTAGTAAGAATTGATACTTTTTGAAGTTTACTTATGAATATAAGGAAATGATAAAGCTCAGCACACCTGAGCCAGTAAAACAGAGTTAAATGAACAAATCGGATGACTCCATAGAAAATGGATCGTTGGCAGGACATTCCTTCTGAGGGCCTCAGTTTTGGAATTTGTTCCTCCCCTGGGCTCAAATAGCCCAAATTTGGTGACTGTCCAGGCATGCTGCAAAAGACATCTGTTTGATAGGGTTTTGGAGAGGGCCTGGAGTTTGCTTTCCAGATAGATTAAGGGGTGGAAAGGAGGATTTCTGTCGGTGTCCAGATGGCAGTTTTTTCTTTTGAATAATTATTTCAGGTTTATGATAGTCTGTGTGGTTGTATGGATGCCTTGAGCTGTGTGTAGTCACTTTTAACTAATTTAATTGAAAAAATTATCTATCATACATGTTATGGATGAAAATAAAGAAGACTGAAATTCCATAATATTCCATATTACATAATATGCTTTAGGCAAATTTTGTTAGAAGGTGCAGGTGTTCTGTATGCCCACTGTTTCTTTAATATTTGTCCAATGTTCTGCAGTTGTATGTGGAATTATAAATTAAATCGCTTTTTTTCCATAACTGAGAATCCTTCTGTCTTTATTCTTTTTATATTGTTATTCAAAACTGTTTTCATGTTAGGTTTTGAGTATTGGTTGGTTCTATAGATTAGGCTTACTATTTGACCAAATTTAGAAATGAATGTATCAGCAAAATTCATAGTTGGAAATATCAGAGCTGCTAGGTATCCTCTATTTGAATTTAGGTGGCAACAGTACCTTGTTTATATTTATTGGATTAAGAATTGATGTTTTTGCTGTGGCCTAGATGAATGAATTGAGGATGCTAGAATTAAAAACCCTGGTACCTTGTTCCTTTCCTTGTTCTTTAAACAACTTATCCCAGTCTATGCTAGATTTCATATCGGTAAAGAAAAGATTTTCTTTTCCATTATTTCTTTATTATTCATCCTCTAATAAATAATTTATTCTGATAAGCTTGGCTGTCAGGTAGACAAGTCTCAAGCTAGGTCTGGTTTGTGCAGTACATTCTGTGCCGCTCCTTCCTCCTCAGGGGAGGACTCCTCACACTCTCACCCTGCTCCAGCGTGGGGTCCCTCCCACGGCAGACAGTCCTCCACGAACTTCTCCAACGTGGGTCCTTCCCACGGGCTGCAGTTCTTCACGAACTGCTCCAGCGTGGGTCCCTCCCACGGGGTGCAGCCCTTCAGGAGCAGCCTGCTCCAGCGTGGGTCCCCCACGGGGTCACAAGCCCTGCCAGCAAACCTGCTCCAGCGTGGGCTCCTCTCGCTCCATGGGCCCACAGGTCCTGCCAGGAGCCTGCTCCAGCATGGGCTTCCCATGGGGTCACAGCCTCCTTGGGGCACATCCCCCTGCTGCGGCGTGGGGTCCTCCCCGGGTGCAGGTGGATCTCTGCTCCCCCGTGGGCCTCCATGGGTGCAGGGGCACAGCTGCCTCACCAGGGGCTGCGCCAGGGGCTGCAGGGGAATCTCTGCTCCAGTGCCCGGGGCCCCCCCTGCCCTCCTGCTGCACTGGCCTTGGGGTCTGCATGGTTGTTTCTCTTAGATATTCTCACTCCTCACTCCAGCTACAGTTTTGTGTCTCGTTTTTTTTCCCCCTTCTTAAATACGTTATCCCAGAGGTGCTACCACCGTCGCTGATTGGCTCGGCCTTGGGCAGCAGTGGGTCCGTCTTGGAGCTGGCTGGCATTGGCTCTGTCGGACACAGGGGAAGCTTCTGCCATGTTCTCACAGAAGCCCCCCCTGTAGCCTCCCCGCTACTGAAACCTTGCCACACAAACCCAATACAGCATACATGTCTCATGTATGCCTCTCGATTAGGGAAAAATGCAAATGCTTGCATTTCATTGAGTTAATTTTGCTGCATGCTGAAAGTCCACAGAAGTGGTTAATGCATGCATACTTGCAGATGTGCTGTAAATGTTTATCTTTGAAAATTTTGATGTAACTTCCCTCCATAGTGCTATATGCATTAAGATGTTCCCTAATTCTTACCTCCTTAAGTCTTATGACTCATTACTTAAGGAGTAAACCATGCTTGTAAGCCAGAGGGGAGGAATTTGAGAAAAATGACAATTGTATTTTAATGCATAACTGCATGAATTTCAGATGATTTTATATCCACATTTGAGGAACAGATTCCAAAACCAAAGACTACATAGGTCAAACTAATTATTATCTTTCAAGATTGAGCAAAATGATGTATTTCTTCATAGTCAAGGATGTAGCTCAGTAGTTTTGCATGAAGGTTCATAACAAACGTTAGAGAGATACTGCATGAAACAAGAAGGAGAACATGGAGTTATTAAGAAATGAATTATTTGTTCAATTACTTTTTTTGTTTTTTTAGAATGTGAGTTGTGTTTCAGCTTATTCTGTTGCCTTCCCTCTATAGAGAATTTTGTAACAATAAGAACTTTCTTCTCTGGAGCCACACTGACAACTCCTTCAGAGGAGATAGCTGAATGTAGTAATTCTAAATTAATAGAAATTGTTTCCTGCTTGTTGTGGGACATGCTTCTGATGATAAAAAGAAGCTTCTTTAAAAATACCTGGTTTCCTTTGGTTTAAATAAAGAGCTTATACAGAGATAAAGGTGGTCACTACTACTTATGAAATTCAATACGTGATTAGGAGTGTTAATTCATGTCTATATAAATCCTTGCAAAAATTATTTTCTTTAAATTTTTTTCTAGTTTTCTTGCTTAAAAAAACCTAACCCAAACCTGGAGGTGGAAAAAGCAATTAAAAATCCTTACAAAACTTTAACTTCAGTGGGCTTACATCAGCTCTCTAGGAACAGGGAAGAAAAAGAACCAAATGTCCATGGGCACATTCTAGTGTGCTTTTAATTTTATACTGAACATTTGAGTACTCTGGAGGCTGCAGTTGCCTAATGTTGATAGATCATATCAGTGCATGTCTGAGGGGCACAGAAGTGATATGGTAGGAATATTACTTCTACATTATAATTTATCAAGCAGTCATCTTAACAGGTCCTAGCATAGTGTTCAGGGCATCCATCCTGATTGTGATACCCTTAGTGGAACCGAGGTAAAAACTGCAGCACAGCATATGTTGGTCTGTAAAAGCAAATGCTATTGCAGTTAAAATGGCTGTAGAGAGGCAGCTGAGGCCCCTAAACAATGCACTAGTGCTGTATAGGAGAAGACTATTTTTCAAGAGCACAACAGGACAATACATGACTACATTAAAACCTTTTCACTTTTTCAGCATTGTACCTTTTGATTTCATAATTTCCAATTCCATTTTAACTCTGAAACCTGTACTTCAGCTAATTCATATTTCATAGAAATTTCAAAGACACCTTTCAGACATTTAATAAGTGGTATTTCTTTTCAAGATCTTGTGCACAATATTAAGTGAAGAAATCTCTCTCTCTTTTTTTTTTTTTTTTTTAAATCCTTAGAAAGAGTATAGAAAAGATTTGGAAGAAGGGATGAAAGGAAAAGGAATGACAGTGTTTGAAGATACACCAGATTTGATTAGAGTGAAAAACGCAGCTCAGATACTAAATGAGGTATGTTATGCTAGTCAAGGTTATTGATGTCACAGAAAGTTCACTCTCTATGTTATACTCCATTGAAAATATTCCAATTTGTTTTTATATAATCTACAATGAAATACATAAGAATTAAAACTAAGGCTATGTCTGTTTTGCTTTAAGAATATAGAAAAGCTCTGGAAAAAAACCAGCTTATGACAAATATTTCAGATTTTCAGGCAATTAAAAGGTCAATGGAAATTGTTGGTGGGGTCAGTAGACAGTGAAGGGCTGGGAGTGGAAGTGGAAGACTCCTTGGTCTGTGTACTGTCTCCTGAAGACCACCCTGAGGAACTCATGTGCTTGGCAAGCCTGTGTGCTCAGCAGAGCTGCAAGCTCCAAAGCTGGCATGGCTGCAGCTCCTGTGGATGAGCTTGCACAGGCTGCCTGGGAAGCAACAGTGGGGCTGGAGGGTGTGGGGAGGGAAGAGGGAAGGCAAAGCTCATGCTGCACTTAACAGCTTCAAGGAGTCATTCTTTCAGAGCAATACATATTTTATATATTTTATATTAATTTAATATGT